GCCACAACAATTGAGGAACAAGTTGGCAATCGGTTCAAGAAACAGTACTCCCGAATAACCGATTGGGAACAAGGCGGAACATCCAAGAAACCTACCTCATCGGCTGACAACATTTCAACTTAATGCACACAAGCACAATGATCTCTTGAAGAGAATTTTACATAGCCTTTCTTAAAGAGGTCAGCCTCTATTTATAGAGGCTGGTTGCCAACTAACTACACAGTAAAACTAGTTACTGTGAAGTAACTAACAACTAACTAAACAAATAAGCTTTAAAAGCTAGAACTTAAAAGGAAGGTCTTATCATAACAACAGAATACTACATCACAATTCTTCGGTAATATATCTTTATTACACTTGGATTGTGATGGAACATGTTTCTGTTTTTCTAAGTGTTTTATTTCTTTAAGTTGCACCAGATTTTTATATCATACTTCTTTTCATGGTTTTTTAATCTGTTAAACTTGTTTTTGAAATGGTCATCAAGTTTCCTATTAGGTGTTAAAATTGGGATAGTGAGATTTTGCTTTACTATATTGAATTGTATAATGGACTCCAAATCCATGTTTTTAAGATTTTTGTAGATAACTTATTAGTGTAAAACGAAGAGAAGTTTGATGAAACACCATTATGAATCAGGGGTATTTTCATAATTGCAACACCCTACGCCAGCGGATTTGACTATTTCTCAATTGCAGATGAAGTGCAGTTTAAATTTGATAGGTGTCATCGGGGGTTTCTCGAATCAGTGAGTTTTTTTTCCCTCTTTCTTCTCTCTCTCATTTGTGACGAAAAATAAAGTAATCTTATGCTCTTTTCCAAAATTTTCCTGAAGTCTTCGAGGAAGAAGTTAATTAGTTAATCGTACAGGTACGAGATCTTCCCATTTTTGGTATTGGGCATTCTCTGGGATCTGTCATCCACCTTTTGATTGGTATCATAACATCTCTTTATGTCATGTCAGGAACTGATTTGGTTTGCAGCATATCAAATGGGTTAGATTGCTAACTTATCTGTTCATCAGGATCAAGATATGCTGTTGAAAGAAGTGGAAATGTACTAATGGCATTCAATAATAAGGTATTTCTGTTATAAGTTTTGAGCACGAATTTGGAGTTATACGGGTGGGTAAAGAAAGTACAATATTGATTTGTAGGTTAAAATATTTATCACTTTAAAGAATTGTCTCTCTTTAAAGCCTTTATACTTGTTCTTTGTTTGGGAATTTTGTTCTTGTTGAAAACGAAAAAAACAGAAGATACTCAGTATCATTGAATCGTAGTGTTTAAGCATCTAGGACGGGGCAATGCGTTGTCAGAAATTGACTTTATTAATTGTAAATTATAGTTGAAAGTTAAGCTATCCTTATTAAACCTTAAAAAGAAAATGAAGTGTTGGAAAAGAGAAACAGTGAATAATTGTTCAGTTGGCACATTTAACAGTAAAATGAACAACTATTTTGGTTGATTTAGTTATAGAATGAATAATTGTATCATTAATAAATCTAAATTGTTTGTTCTGGTTTGGTGATTGAATGGATGTATAAATTAGTAACCTGCTAATATTTATATTTTTAATTATTATTAATTTTTATGCTATTAATATGTAACATTATCATTAATATTATTATGATCATTTTATTAAATCTTGTTTTTGACCATCGGGTATAATGTATAAAATATTATAGATAGTAACATTATAAGCACAATATGGAAGTTGCTTTCCTCTCGCTCCCCGCATTATTTATTTTCTTTTTTCTCTTCCCTCCAAGAAACTCTCTTTCTCCAAATTTTTTTCTCTTTCCTTTTTCTTTTCCCTCTTAAAAAACTCTACTCTTTACATTTTAGAGACTTGACAAAAAGTTCTCTTCAATTCACAGGAAGCAAGCTCCGCTATTCCTTTATTCTCCCCAGTTCTTGTTCCAATGGCCCAGAGCATGGGGCCTCTCTTATCACAAATTGCATCATCGCCAACTTTTCGTCTAGGGGTAAGATATTTTATCTTTTAGTATCCTTGTGATTAATGTGCATTGTTTCTTCAAAGCTTTCTGCCGAGAGTTGATAGTTTTGAGATGTTTGTTACCGTGAAATTTCATAAATATATACTATTGCTCTTGAACTTTACCTAGAGTGTTGATTTTACCATAATAAACTATTCAAATGAAAATCTTGCCTTTTTAGAAGTTTTCTCCTTCCAAATATTTTTAGCGAATATGCCTTTCATTTGCATGGTGTAAGCCGAGATGAGACTGTTAAGTTGTGAAAAAAATTTCTCTTTTCATCTCTCTAGGCTCTAGACCCAAATCACTTTGGAAAACTGTTTTCGACACACATTTTGAATCTTATTTTCAATGCTGGACAATGATCGGATGTCTTACTTTTAATGTTAATGTGCACATAAAAAACATTCTTTTTTCAAATAACTTAATTTGTTCTGACGGAATGAGTGAATAGTGAGAACACGTTAAAATAGAATCAGAGAAATGACGGCTTTTGAAAAGCATAAATTTAATCATTTTCTCTCTTAATTTTTTGTTTTAGAAAGCTGAAGACTATTTTGAAAATGGTTCCCAAACAAGTCTTAAGAAAATGCATACCTCAAACATTTACGAATGCAACTAGTAAATGTTTTGAACCTTTGTAAGAGAAGAATTTTTTACTAGATCAAGAGATTATATAATAGAGCAATCATGATAGAGATTAAAACCCCGTCCCTCCATCTTCCTGCTCCATTTTCCCCAATCCGCCATTCCCACCTTCAAAGCTCTAGTTCTAGCCCCCTCTTTGCTGTCTTCGCCTTATGGCTTCACCCGGGCAACCTTTCCTGAGCAATTTCCAAGTTTAAAACCGCTGCCTCTACCATCGCTAGCCCCGCCTGCCTTCCCTCATCGGGTTGCTCCATGTATTCTCTCTCTCGTCCCCTTACAGAGCCTTCGTGAATCTTGCTGATTGATTTGAGCAGCCATTGATGGAGTTCATTGTGGGCCTTACGCGCTTCGTGATCTCTAGCAATCCGAACGAAGGAGATTTTGAGTAGCGTGACGTTTGCAGATTGGTCTGTGAAGCAGTCAACTTACGAGCTTCTATTCCACAGGGCGGGGTTCGCTCCCTATGGCAAGTACTAACGAAACCTGTGGCGGATATCGGCGACTTACATGTTTAGCCTTGAGAGAATTGTCGCATTTGAGGGTTTCCGCTAGGAGGTTGGTGGAGAGTGATGGGGATGTTGAAAACTCCATGATCGTGAAGGGTGAAGTTAGGGTTAGGGAGATTCTTCATTTTGATCTCTGAATAATGTGATGATGGCGGTTTTTGGATGGTGTTTATGATTTCCACGATGGGGGAGATCGGGTGTCGCTTGAGAAACTCGTGAGTGAAGGTTATGAGTTGCTTGTAATCTTCAACTAGAGTGATCATTCTCCGTTTCTAGGGTGGTTGGATTTATAAGGAGTGAGAAGGAGGTACAAATGCTTAGCTTCCAGTTAAGGTGAATATATTCGTGGGGAAAATCATCAAGGAACATCAAATGAGGAGAAAAGTCAGAAAACATGAAAATCTCCCTAGCCCTAGTTCTTCATTTTGATCTCTAAATAATGTGATGATGGCGGTTTTTGGATGGTGTTATGATTTCCACGATGGGGAGATGGGTGGAGCTTGAGAAACTCATGAGTGAAGGCTACGAGTTGCTTGTAATCTTCAACTAGAGTGATCATTTTCCATTTCTAGGTTGGTTGAGTTGCTTGTAATCTTCAACTAGAGTGATCATTTTCCATTTCTAGGTTGGTTGGATTTATAAGGAGTGAGAAGGAGGTACAAATGCTTAGCTTCTAGCTAAGGTAATATATTCATGGGGAAAATCATCAAAGAACATCGAATGAGGAGAAAAGTCAGAAAACATGAAGGAGTAGAAGAAGAACATAATATAGATTTTTAAAGTACGAGAAAAGTCAGGAAGATTTATGTTTGCGTGATTTAGGGTTGGTTGAAAACGAAGCTGCAATTAATGGGCCCCTTTTAAATTTCGTTCGGAGTCCAAAGGCATTTTGATTACAAATTCTTCCCCCTTCAAAATTACACCTCCTAAGCAATCTCAGAGTAATTTAATCCCTCCGTTACCATTCTCGTACTCTAAATTTAAATCAAAATTGGCTGGCGCTTGAGCTTTTTGAATTTGGAAGATTTAGATATTCTGAAATTTGAGCTACCACTAAATGAGGAGAGAGAAGATAGAGCTTCTAGATCGAAGTTTTCCAATGGGCCAAACAAATCGGTGGTTATTCCTCCCTCTTCCTTCCAGGACTCGCTTTCTCGACAAATGATCTTTCAAACAAAAGTCGGAGTATAATTCTCTCTGATGATGAAGAAGACTTTAATGTCAGTCTTAGCAGCCCAGATCTTTCTCCTTCTCGAGATATTCTAGACTCCAATATTGTTGATCTTTCAGATGATTCGTTTGAGGAAAGTTTACACAATCTATTTAACTTAGATAAATGATCATCCAAGGTCCCCAGTGGAGTAGTCAGTGCTGAATTTGGAAGAGAAATTCATATCCAAAATTGATATCCCCCTATTTCGAAGCTGTTGGGCTTTCTTTAGTCCCAATTCAGAATTTCCAATGAATTTTTTTTATCATGGAATGTTCGTGGTTTGCTGTTAGCCTGTTACAAGATGAGGCTGAAGATTAAGGATCAGTTCTTCGTGGAGCACTCAAGATATTGGTTTTAGATTCAGTCAGTTGGCAATTCTGAAGGCCTAATCACGTTATGGGATGTAAGCAGAGTACAGGCTCAGGAAGTCCTTCAAGAAGTTTTCTCATTCACCATCTCTTGTTCCCTTTCTAATCTGCAGCATTTGTGTATTTCAAAAATCTTTGGTCCTACGAGTTACAAAGATAGGAAGTTGGTGCGGTCATCGCAATATAGCAAGATTTTCCAACAAACTTTGGAGTTTGGGAGGTGATTTTAACGGCACAAGGTGTGTTTCATACCGTTCTTCTGATGTTAGGCGGTCCAAGGCTATGAAGATATTCTATGATATAATAGTAGTGGTGGACATTCTGGAATTTCTGTTATCTAATGGCAGCTATACGTGATCAAAAATGGGAAATGACAGTTTCCATTTGTTGTTGGTAAGATTTTTTGTTTCTTTGGAATGGGACAACCTATTTTCTTATTTTCGAGTTTATAGGGTTGAAAGAATTTCCTTAAATCACTTTCCCATCTTTCTGGATTCAGGAGATATTATTTGGGATCCTTGCCCTTTTAGATTTTCAATTCTTGATTAAAAGATAAAGAGTGAATCAGTCAAGTGGGAGGATAATTCTTATGGTTGGGCAGGTTATCTATTTTTTTCTAAGCTTCACAAATTGAAATCCGCTCTTAAAAAATGGCACAATCAGCACGAGCAAAGAAAGAAGGCTGCGGAAGTTAAGCTCATTGAGGGTGTTTCCAGATTTATGGTTTGAAAGGAACCATCGGGTATTCGAGGATTCATGTAGTTCAGCCCTAGATTGTTTCAATTTTGCCAAATTCAAGGCTTCTCATTGGTGTGGCTCTTCCTTTTCTCCTAATATGACATGTATGAATTGGGAGGCCTTTATAACCAATTTTTAGTTTTTTTGTCCTTTTTATTTTCACTCCCTTCGGAGTTTGTATCCTTAAACAATTTTGTTCCTTTTCATCTAACCAATGTTCTTTTTGATTTGGGAGAAACTGACAAGCTCTTAGATTCTGACATGATAGCTGTTCTTTGAGAAATGATCTTTTGAGGTATGGACACAGTAAAAAATCGATTTCGTGGTCGGAAATCCGGAACCATTTTCAATTCCAACATTCCAAATCTTCCATTTACAGTATGTTGTGAAGGAGTGTTTAAGAATGCACTCGCCTGACCCTGTTCTGTCACAGGCTTGCTTGGTCGTGCATGACGTCCACATCGGTCGGAGCTTCAGCTTGACTAGCAGGATGACGATGGTGGACATGTTGGCAATTACCCACGACGGGAGAGTGTGAGCGGAGCCGGAGAAATTCGACCCAAATTGGTTCATGGGGAGTGATTTGAGATTGTCTCCGTTTGGGGCGGGGAGAAGGGTACCCTTGAGAAGGCAATGGGATTGCCTGGTTGAGGGAGCTACTCCAATCTTACAAATGACTTCCTTCTTTTGAAGATGCCATTAATAAGAGGGTGGATTTGTCAGAATACCTTAAACTCTAGAGATGAAACTTATATGATAGAGTGAAATTCTTAGGAATAAAATCATGACTTGAAAGGAGTCATGTACTCCATCGTGACAGAAGTCAATTTGAGCATGGGAATGACAGAAGATTATCTACGATAGTTAGGTGCCATCATGCATGGGTCAAATTGAGATAGCTAAGAGGTGGTGTGTCGTGCCATCTGGTCGCATGACATCTAAGGTGTTGGTCCATCCATGAGCTGAAACACTGGGTGGATAGGTGAGATTTTCTCCTACGGTGTTTGCAACGATAGAGAGTTTTAGGGAACCTAATATGCAGCAACCATTTTACTGTTAATCTTCCCAGAATCTCACCTTCATGCCAAAAGCTATTTTTGAAAGAGAAGCCTGAATTAGGATAGTACCAATATCTAGCAGCATTGGATCTTGGATTTATTGGCTTCAATGGTGAGAAATGGCTGTGAACAGTGTTTCCAAAGTGCATTAAGGTGAGCGCCAACAAGGCACATGCCCTTCGCCGCCTTGCAGGAAGGAATGGTGAGCACTTTCAATATGGCAATCGCATGCCATTATAAGTAAGCCAAAAGAGACCATCCCACTCTTGCTTCACGTAAAATTATACCATAGGGATTTAATGTCTGAGGGGAATATAAAGCCAGCTAGATAATAGGGTGGGTTTCTTAATTTTAATATTCTCTATATACTTGGACCATCATGGAGAAGTGGCATAAATATCAGCGATAGTGTGATAGAGGACGCAGCTAGAGCTAATAGACTGGGTGCAGAGCCAAGAGTCTTCCTGCCACTTATTTGGGTTTCCTCTAGGTGGTAACCAAAAGTCTTGCTTTTTCTGGGAGCCTTTGGTAGATAGGATGAGGGCCAAGCTAGAGAAATGGCGTGGACTTTCCCTTTCAAAAGGGGGGAGACTTACCTTGGTGCAAGCTGTCCTAAATAGTCTTCCTGTCTATTATTTCTCCCTGCTGAAAGCCTCCAATAGAACAATCGAGAGATATCATTTGGTTTGGGGGAACCTAAAAAGCAGGAAGTCATTTAATCAGCTGGAAAAAGACCTCCTTGCCAGTGGAGTATGGTGGCCTAGGGGTAGGAGGAACTCCTCTCTTCTTATGAAATGGTTGTGGAGATTTATCCAAGACAAGGACTCCCTTTGGGTAAGGTTATTGCTGCTATTTATGGTCTGGACTCAAATGGGTGGTTCACCAAACCCACTAGAGGCAAAGCAGGTGGTAGGCCTTCGGTAGACACCAGCAAAAGGGTGGCTACCTTCACCACTTCTACAAAATTGTGGCTGAAACGGGAGGAAAATTTGTTTCTGGAAAGATTCTTGGGCTTGTCCCCCTCTACCTGCTAGATTTCCTGATCTGTACTTCATCTCTTTGAAAAAAAACACCAATATTGCTGATTGTTGGTCGTCTGTTTACCAAAGGTAGGATTTGGGTATCAGGAGAGGTATTTTTGATAGGGAGATGACCAGCTGGACTGAGTTGACTGAAATTTTGGACAGAATTCGTCTAGGAGAGGGGGAGGACGTGATAGTCTGGGCTCTTGAAAGGGAAGGTTCTTTTGCTGTCAAATCAGCTTTTCTCTCCCTTACTAAGCCAGTGACTCCGGTGGAAAGGAAAGACAGTGGTGGAGTCTTGTGTGGAAAGCCCTTGTCCACAAGCGAGTAAAGTTCTTCACCTGGTCTTCTTTGCACAGAGGAATTAATACATCAGAAAGGCTTCAGATTTCCCCGGTGGACTATGTGTCCTTCTATCTGCTTTCTTTGTAAAAGAGGGGAGGATTCAATCAATCATTTGCTTCTTCGTTGCCCTTTTACTTTTAAGGCTTGGTTCTTTGTCTTTAAGGAGTTTGGTTTCTCAATTTGCCTCCCTAAGATGGTAGACGATTGGATGCTGGAAGCTTTTGCGGGCATGGGGCTAAAGGGTACAGCCAAGGTTTTATGGTGTTGTGCAGTGAAGACGCTGTTATGGACAGCTTGGAAGGAACGAAACCAAAGAGCTTTCGAGGACAACTACAGTTCAGAGTATTCTTTTGTGGATAGTATTCGGTACTTGGCTTCTTGGTGGTGTACTAGATAGAAAGCCTTTTGTAATCATGGTCTTTGCATGATTATTAACAATTGGAGGTCTTTTTGTAGATGATTTTTGTGGGAGGGGTTTTCTCTATTCCTCGTCCATGGGTTGTCTCCTTTTTGTATAGCCTTTTTCGGTTTCTTATAAAAAATAAAAAATAAGTCCTCCAAATCTTGAAATCCTAATTGGTTCTTTATGTTGATTTTTATTTCTAATTTTTCTTTAAATGCAACTTTTGTCCTGTATATCAGTTATCTACTACATGTTTTCAGACTACTTGATGATTCAAACTATGCCTTAGGAGGATAATAGGTGCTGTATGATAGATCATTGGATTATATAGTTTTCTGCTTATTTTTTCTTCTATTTGACGTGCTTTTTCCCCCTGTAGAAGTGTGGCAGTTCTACAAAAGAATCTTGTTTCTGATTTCAGCAGCTGGCATTGCAAACCTTACTTAAAGCCCTAAATCTCTTCATTTCAATGTGGGATCTTTTTAAGCTCTGTGAAAGAATGAGTCTTGTCTCTTGTTAGGAATGTGACTTGTGAGTTCATAATATCATCCGAATTGGAGTCTCATGTTTGTTAATATGCATCTGCAGGCAGAGATGACAATGAAGCAATTAGAGAATCTTAGCCCTCCAATTATGAAGCAAGTCCTTCCTTTAGTTGAGCAGCTCCCTCCCTTGTACATGGACTTGGTGAGGGGGAGAGAAGATTTCATTCCAAAGCCAGAAGAAACTCGACGCCTTGTATGTCCAAAATAACAATGAATTATTTTTGCATATTTATTAGTTCTATTATTTTCTGCTTTAGTTGCAGTAACTCTACGGGCATGCAACTTATTGAGTATCTCTTTTGCTGGGTTTGGATATTTTACCATGTGTCAAGCATTTGTTTCGTTTTTTAATTTTGTGTTTGGGTTTGGGCATTTCTATAGTTGGGTTTTGAGCAACTAATTGATTGATTTTTGCACAATATTTTACTTTAGTGTTGGAAGGGAATTGATTTCAACACTTGTTCAAGTTCTGAATGCGATGAAAGAAAAATTTCCCCATGAAACTTGCTTAACTAAGTACAAGAGTAAATAATGAAATTTTCTCAAATAAGTTATCACCACTTGCTGACGTTAACTAAGTTCTCTAACATGGCAGCTAACTACTGGCATGAAATTATATTAAGAACTTTATAGGAAATATCTTACCGCTCTTACCTATTTGCACTGTTTGTAAAATTTGTTTTGGCTCTAAGGTTCTGGGGTAATGAATGTTACTCCATTATTTTTGTTTTTGTCCAGCCATTCTTGTTTTTCTTGTGACCAAGTATTACTTGGTTGAAGGTTTTTAGATTGAATGATGGTATACCTGCTGTTTCTGCCATCTGTGCTTCTCTTTTAGTGTGGAGGGAAATTTAGATTTTAGTTATAGGTTTAAACTAACTTGTTCTTGTGGAATGCTTGATCAGATAAAGTCATACTACGGCATCTCCCGGAATCTTCTTGTAAAGTTCAAGGATGATACAATCGACGAAACTCCAATCCTAGCTCAGTTGCTCAGCTCAGAGTCTGCAATTAGTTCAATGCTAGACATGTCAACTCGCTCATTGCCTGGCGATCATGGGTTACCATTGCAGCAGGTCTTCTCCCCATCCCCTCCCCATTTCATCATCTACAAACAATGAAGAAGCACTCTTATCTTATTATTGCTGTTATTATTTCCAAGAAGATTAGACATGGCAGGATTGAATTTTAGTTTGGTTCTCTTATCTCTTACGAAGAGTTCTTTTACTCATTTATAGGCCCTCCCCGACGTACCGCCAGCAGTGGCAAATGCCGTGAACCGAGGAAGTGAGCTTTTCACCAATCTAACCGCAGGGACGCCATGGGAGATGGTGGCGAAAGAGGTTGGAAACACATTAGGTGTAGACTCAAAAATCCTCAGGGCCGAAGTATCCAAGGATCTAGACCTGCTCGTGGAAGTGGTAACATCTTGGATGGCCTCAAACATGGGTCCGAAACTTCTGAGGCCATAAATTGAGTTGCAACTTGCTTGTTGTCTATGGTTTGCGATGATTCTGAACTGTCCTACCCTTCAGTTATGGTCTTATGTGAACAAAGTGTTGTCCACAACGCGCGGTACACGTGCAACAGCATCGTCCAATCGTAGGTTCATTGACTGATTGGACTTCATTGCATAAGGTTCTGTTTCAAGCAGACTTGTAATTGCTGTAATTATAAATACTTCCATACTTATAATTTATTGAAATATTATCAGGAATGTTGTATATTAATAAGGATTTTCTTATCAATCTTTATATTTGTAAACTTAATGGTTAGCCCTTAAGTAATTACTTAATTAGCAGACATGGTTAGGGGTTCTATGAGCAAAGATGATGAGATTTGTAAGGCTTCAAAGGCCCAATTATGTAGTTTTTGGTTACTATGGTTTGTCCCAGCTGAGATAGATCTAGATCGAACTTGTAACGTCTGGTTTAAGTGGGTTTTTAATAATAGGGCGTCGAGGATCTTGGCCTTTTTAAGTTTATGCATGTAATTTTTTTTTAAGTACGTGAGGACATTCAAACTAATGATCTCTTGGTTAGAGACGAGTGCTAATTATTGCTGACTTAAGCTCATGTTGGTATGCATATAATTTTGTTCAAGGAGATAGCACCAAGTTAATTTTAAAAGTGGCTAACATGAGAATAACTTAGTGGTTAGGGTATCTTGCTTTTGTAGGAGTAAGAAGTTTCAATCTCTTATTTTCCTATTAAAAAATGTTAATTTTAAAAGTGAAAAAAATCTATTTTGGAATAAAAAATCTTACATAAATATTCTTTTCAATGTAAAAAGAGAGTTACACAACTAAAGTTGGTATGGATTAAAAAGTTATCATGTCGGACTCTATGACAAGAAAAAAAAACTATGAAAATATTAAGAGACTATTTCCTTTAAAAATGCAAGATCTCAACGGGATCATTATTCATCATAAATTGGTATGTCAAATTAGGCATATTATTTCTTTTACAAAAATAGGCTCTCATATATTTTGTTTCATATTGGCTATTGTAGTAACCTATATGTAACAACCGAAAAAATATATATAAATATATATATATATTTAAATTATTATTTTTTAGTTGTTTTCTTTTATTTTCTCAAAGATAAACCTTTTTGGTTTAGAAATTATTTTTTGAAAGATAATTTGTTCTTAGAATTTGAAAAAAATAAAAAGAAAGAGTTTTATTAAATCTTTAACTTTTTATTATCCTTTTTAAACAAGGATTCATTAGGATTTGTTATAAAAACCCTTAAACCCTAGGTTTTATTTTATTAAACTGTTAGACCTAGTTCTCTCTCAAAGATCAGTAAGATTTTCTTCTCATTGTTTTAGTTTTATTTTTCTTGATTTGTAGTTCTTTAATTCAGTTTATTGGAAAAAGTTTTGAGGTCTTTGTTTTTATAATAAAAGATTTTAAGGACTTTTTATCCTAAAAATTTTTCAGAATTTTTG